CCGCGACCCCTCTGCAAGGGGATCTCCAGGGCCGGGCCACTTTTTGAACTTGAGTCTTAAACATGATGATCTAGCCATCATTTTAAAATGATCATCCTCAAGCAGAGAAACGGCCAGCAAACAAAAGGTCGTCCCCACCAGTTTTATCTTTTTCGTGGCGATGATTATTTCTTTTTAAGCAGATAGGAGGGAGTCTCTTGCATCGTGGCAGATTCTCACGTATCATCTTACCAGCCTGTGGCTATTGGGTGCCCCTGGGTCGGTTCCAAACCAGAGTGGCCCTCTGTGTAGAAGGAACCCCTGCCTTGTCCTCATCCTGGGCCCATTGCACAACCATTGCTGTGCTTGTCAACCCAGAAAGATACATATCCCCATCTGTTTACACTTCGTGCAAGTCCAGCATTCAATGAACTCTCATCTGGGGTGTAGTGAGTCCAGTGTTGGGCCGCTAACCAAAAGGTCTGTGGTTTGAACCCACCAAATGCTCCCCAAGTGAAATATGTAGCCTTCGGCTTTTGTAAAGATTTACAAACTCAGAAACTCCACCAGGCCGTTCTACTCGGTGGCTCAGGGCCACTGGGAGTCAGAATTGACACGACAAAACCAGCTGCAGGTGCTACAGACTTGCACCAGGTTTGGGTCATTGTGGGTCACATGACCCAGAGTCCTTTATAATGATAATGTTAACGGGCTGGGTGGCTGGCTGGGCCGGGCCTTGGAGGTAAGCATCGCTAATCCTGTGCTTTTCTCTTGCTGATGATATTGATTGCGTTTCGGGATGCCTGATTGGATCTGGAGTTTATGGGTTGGTGCTTTCTGGGGTTCTGGTTGCCCTGCCTAGGGGAAGCCCAGAAACACCAACCTTGAGGAGCCCATACCTGCTGGGGGACCTCAGATTTGAGGTGACATTGCCAGGTAGCATCATCTCCCCTTCATCTTTCTGTTGCCTCTGCAGGTGACTCCTGAATTTGATCCCAACCTATGATCACACGCAAAGCACCCAATATCTGCCTCAAAGTGAAGTTGGTTGAATTCAAGCGCAGCTTTGTGTCCTGCGGGAGCCCTGGTGATACAGTGGGATCCCTGTTGGGCTGCGAACCCTAAGGTCTGTGGTTCGAGACCACTAGCTGCTACACAGGAGAAGGGTGAGCCTTTCTACTCCCATCAATAGTTAAACCAAACCCACTGCCACTGAGTCGATTCCAGCTCCTAACAACCCCGTAAGACAGGGCAGAACCGACCCTGTGGGTTTCTAAGATGATAACTGTACAGGAGTCCAAATCCTGCTGACCTTGCTGTCAGTAGCCCAATGCTTAACCACTACTCACCCAACTCTTGGAAACCCTTCGTATACCTGTCCTATAAGGTTGCTATGAGTCAGAATCAACTCGTTCGCAGTGAGTTTTGTGTCTTGCTTAGAGCATCCTCTGCAGGGTGACACCACGTGTCGATCGAGTGCTTTAAGATAAATAAACCAGCTCAGAGGCCTACAGGGGCCAGATAGATGTAAATGGCCAAAGCAAACAGAGCAGGGAGCCTGGAAAATACATCCCCTTTCTTTTCTCCACTGTGGAAACAGGAGGCCAGGGTGTCCCGAAGATCTGATTGGCAGGGTTGTTGCTGGGTCCTGGCGTCTATTCTGACTCCTCACTGGGGCTGCATGTGTGGACAGCAGACCGGCACCTCTGCGTGCTTCCTCTGTCAGTGCTATGTTTGAACCCATTGCTGGCTGTGTCACCTCACCTCCCTCGCTGAGAATCTATTTTCCACCGATTCTCTACCAAGCAGGATACCACCCTGTCCTAGAACATGCCCGAGGCTGGCTTTTATTCAACTTCTCAATGTCTAAATACTGTTCATGTTCACTAGACATTGTAGACCAGTATCATGAGTCAAACCCAAAACCTAAGGGGAGTCACGAGCCATCTCAGCAGCCCATTGTGACCTCTGTGTTTAATGCTGTTGTTAAATGCATAGCGACCTCGTGCACAGCAGAACAAAACACTGCCTGGTCCTGGGCCGCCCTCACAGTGGTTTCTATGCCTGCGCCCATTCTTGCAGCCCCTGTGTCCCTCCATTTGCTGAAAGGCCTTTCTCTTTGTCACTGCCCCTCTACTTCACCAAACATGACATCCTTCTCCAGGGATTGGTCTCTCCTGACAACATGTCCCAGTGCATGTAAGATGAAGGCTCACCATCCTTGCTGCTAAGGAACACTCTGGCTGCACTTCTTTCGAGAGATCGGTTTGTCCATGGTACTTCAATCTCCTCCAGCACCACAAGTGAACTGCACCGAGTCTTTGTCGTGCAATATCCCTGCGTTAAATCGTGTTGATGAATCAGGAACATTCACTGTCTAGAAGCTGTGACCACTGTGTGTGTGTGTGTGTGTGTGTGTGTGTGTGTGTGTGTCTAAAAGAGAGAGAGAGAGAGAAAAGGGGGTGGTGGTGGAAGGGCAGGCAGGTGAGCAGGCTCCAGGTCAGAGTCTGGCACTGCCCTCTCCCCAGGGAGCTTGAATCCTTTATTTCAGCTCTATAGACTTCAGCGTCTGCACCTGTAAAGGGGTCATGACCTTAATACCAGCTTCCTAGGGTTGTTGCAGGAGTCCTCGTGGCGTAGCGGTTTCATGTTTGGCGGCTAACCGCAAGGTCAGCAGTTTGAAATCACCAGCCGCTCTGTTGGAGAACGACAGGACTTTCTACTTTTGTCAAAAGTTACAGCCCCTGGAACTCACAGGAGCAGTACTACTCTGTCCCAGAGTGTCGCTAAGGGTTGGCATCAACCAGATGGCAGTGCGTTTGAGTTTGGGGGCTGTTGTGGGTACCTGTGGGCTCACACATAAGAACCATTTGTGAGGGTGGTGCAGGATGGGCGGTGTTTAGTACCGTTGCACAAGGGTGGCTGAGTTGGGATCGAACTGATGGCACCTAACCACAGCAACCTTGTTGCTGGGAGGCCCCATGCCGTGAAGTGGGCCCTGATCCCTGATAACTATTCCTGGTGACGTGTTCGCTTTATCATAATGGAATTACTCAAGCATCAGACGTTGTGGAAATGATTTCTATATTCCCAGATAGCTCATTCCTCCTTTCATAAAAGCACCTGAGATGCTTCTGCATGCTCACTCCTCTTTTGTTGTTGTTCTTGTCCATCTCCCTGTGTACAGGGGGTTCACAGGGAACATGAGCCTATGCTAAATTTCTTTTCCCATGTACCATGCAATTTACTGGTTTTTTAACCGTTTGACATTTAATTCACATAGCATACAATTCAATAGTTCAATCATACTAAGAAGAGTTGTACAGTCATCATCGCAATGTTAGAACATTTTCTTCATTCTTAAACTCATTGTTCTTAGCTAACTTTCCCTAGCATGGCCCCAAGCTACCATTAAACCACTTTATTGTCTCTGAAGATTTACCCATCCTGGATTCCAAATACAGAAAAACATACAAAACAACAACCAATCAACAATAACAAAGTTTATAAAACAGAGAAAAACCTCAATAGAAAAGAAAGCAGAAAAGACTAAAACCGACAAATTTAAAATGGTACAAAAAGGAGGTCAGATGGTAAGGTTAAATTTTAACCTAACTGCATCTGCAGTAATCCACCTCCCAATGCACTGTCTGATAACAAGGCAATTCCCAACCCTAGTGGAGGGTGGAGGGGATTCACCAATGGCTCAATCCCTGTGCATTTCCCCTCGGTTTTTCTTCTTAAACGGAAACAACTTTCAAAGGAGGCAAAAGGGAGATCAAATGATAAGGTGTGACATTTTAACTTCGCTACATCTGCCATCATCCCTGTCTGATAACAAGGCTATTGACAGCCTTCACTATGGTCAGAGGCGATTCACCAGAAGATCAATCCATTTGTGGACCTAGCAAATGGGTTTGGAGTTACTGTATGTTAAAAAACAAAACAAAAAAAAACAACAAAAAAGAAGAAGGAACGACTATGTTTGCTATTGTTGACGATTCAGGGCCGTTGGTTACATTGGAGTTGTTGCAACCCCTCCCCTCCCCCCACTATTAACATAAAGTCAAAGCTCCCTACGGTTCCTAGCTAATCTTTTGATTTGAATATGATCTACTTCTAAACACCAGCCCCTCCTCCCGCCCGCAGGAGGACTAGCCGACACACAAACACGCCGGCATGTGTTTGTTATGAAAGTTCTGCTCTTTTCCAAATGTTTTGAGAATGACGAGGGCAATGAATGTACAAATGTGCTTTACACAATTGATGTATGTATGGATTGTGCTAAGAGTCGTATGAGCCCCTAATAAAACGATAAAAAAAAAAAAGTTCTGCTCTTTTCACTGCGCGGGAACGACCCAGACGTTCTCAGCGTGAAGACCCTGTGTTCCCCACCTCTTTTGTTTACCGATGTCTCTAATGCCCTATTTACGATAAGGACGAGGTGCGGGCTTCTTTCTCCCCGCCCCCAACTTTCCTGCTAGGAAAAATCTGCCAATGTCTCAAGTCCTAAAACCCCGCCCCAGCTGCAGCCTGCCGTGCCGATCCGGGCTCCGCCTTTGTCACCCCGTTTTCTCTCCCCGGTTTTTCGGGAAGTGCTTTGGTGGGCGGCCCCCGCCTGGCCCCCGCAGCCCCTGTCTGTCGCGGGGCCGGGGGTCCAGCACCGGCCCGGCGCTGTCCCGTGGCGGCAAGGGCAGAGCGTGCCCGGGCAGGTCGTGTGCCCGGCGGGGGCGCGGGGTTCCCCGGAGTCCCGGCCCGGCGCGCTCCGCCCCCAACGACGTCCCCAAGGGCGTGAAGAGGGCGGCGCTGGCGCCAAGCCTGGGCCCGCGTCACTGGGAAAGTCCCCTTAAAACCGAGCGCGCGGGCCAGGGCGGCGCACGGGCCGCGTCCCCCTCCTGCCACCTCGGGCCTTCCTCTGTCCCGCCAGATCGCGAGTCCGCCCGGCGCGCAGCCCGCGCCCTGCAGACGGAGCCGAGCGCTTGGTGAGGACGTGCCCGCGCTCCGGGCGGCCGCTGGAGGAGATGCCCGGGAAGAGAGCGCGCAAGAGCGCACAGCCGAGCCCCGCGCGGGCGCCGGCAGGTACGCAGGAGCCGGGCCGGGCCGGGACCCGTGGGCCTGGGGCGGGCGGGCGGGGCTCGGGCGCCCAGTGCGCTGGGCTCCGGGTCCGGCCAGGTGCGCGCCTGTGGCGCCTCCAGGAAGTCCCGGCGGGGCTTTCCCAGGACCCGGGAGGCAGCCCCGGAGGGAGTTGCGTTTGGGATTGGGATGCTGCTGCGTTTTAGCCGGGACAGAAAGTCTCCCCTTTCTGCCCCCAAACGGCCCAGCGAAGGAGTCGTGGGGATAAAAAAATAAAAAAGAAGAAGCAAGAATGGCCACAAGGAGAAAGTCTTTAGCGGAGCAAGTGGGGCGGGAGGCGGCCTTCCCTGCCCACAACTCCCCATCCCCACCCCTGGTCCTCCCGAGGCCTCGGCGCCGCCGCTGCCAAACACCAACCACAAGTTTCTCCCTACGCTTCACTCACCCCTGCCGGCCCCTCCACTTGGGGCTAATGCGATTTGGTGCCAATGGGGGCGCAACGGTATGGAGGAACCCAACAAAATTTTCTCTCTTTGAAACTTTAGGGTCCACATTTTTAAATCTTCATGTTTAGTGTAGCAGATAAAGGATCAATCTTTTTACTTTTTTTAAAGGTTCTTTGACACATGTAACTTTCCATAGTTCCATCACCTCAAGCGGTAGTGTACAATTGCTACGTGCATCTCACTCCTTTTCCCACCCACTCATCGACTCCCTCCATCCGCCCCACTCCCACCCCCATCTCTACCCATAAAATCTGAAGAAGGCTCGAAGGCAGGGCAGTGAGAAAAAGTGCACAGCTCTGGGTCTGGGCTTGAAATCCGAGCGGGTGTTCCTGTGCCTTGCCTCTTAAAAGAGCCCTGGGGTCACAGAGGAAGGGAAGGTGCTTTGCAAAGGTGGCCCTGTGGGGCCCAGCAGAGCTCTCTGGCTCCTGCTTGATGTGGAAAAGGCTTTGTCCACGCCATGACCTTCAAAGTTGTGACTTTGTTCTCCAAAGATCTACCTGGACTTTGTGCATTGCCCACCCAGCCTCACCTCCTGCATTCAGGGATGCTTTTAAACTTGAGTAGTGATTCGCACATTAATAGATGTGCAGCAGTCATAAAAAGCAATCACAAGGGAATAAGTGGGGCTATTTTCTGCCCTGGTGAAAGGGATCGTTTTTGCTCTTCAAATTCAGGGCTCCCCAACTTGTGGGCTAACTGATTTCTAGTTTATTGTTAGTTGCCATCCGGTGAATTCTGATGCTAACATCCCACTTAGAAACAAGCCTTGTCCAGTTCTAATCACAATATTTGGGGAAAGCTAGACCCTAACAGTCTATCGAGAATGGCATCTTGGGAGGTCTATTAGTTCTCTAATAATTACTCTCTAACAAAACTCTCTTGTGGAGAGATGGAAGTGGAGGTATAAAAACCTGCTGTACTTACTCAGTTTTATTTCGAGCCCAATCACCAGAATCGCAGGCAGTGATTTTTGGTATTCATGATTTTGAAGCGGACTAAAAGGAAGCCTGGTGGTGTAGTGGAGTACACTTTTGGCTTTTAAAACACAAGGTCAGCAGTTCGAAACCACCAGCCCCTCCGTGGGAGAGAGATGAGGCTTTCTACTCCCATAAAGAGTGACAGTCTCAGAAACCCACAGGGGTGTTCTCCCCTGCCCTACAGAGCCTCAATAAGCTGGCATTGATGCAATGGCAGCGAGAAGAATGAGTTGCTCTTCGAAATATTTGAGAAGATGATCCATCTCAGCTTAATTTCATTGATTGATCTCTTGAAGGTGTAATCTAAGCCATATATTTATTGGCATTTAAAAACAAATTCTACTTGAAAACAAAAGGTTTTAGAATTTGGCTTCTGTTGATGGACCAACCTTAGATGAGTGAGAAAGGGTGACTACAGAAGACTGGTAAACTCTGACAAAAGGTGCTTGCCACATTAAAACCCTCATTTCTGAAAGTAAGGCAACATTAGCGTCATTTTGATGCGTACACAACGAAAGTCCCAAGTAACTTGCCTTGACTGTTTTGCTTTTGACCACAAGCCATACTGTGATAATATGTGAAGTGTGTGTGTGTGTGTGTGTGTGTGTGTGCTCTCATGTGTGTGAGAGAGACAGTCTTTTTAAGCCTCACATTCCGAGAATTCAGGCTTACATAGGGCTAAGATCAATATCCAAGACATCAACACACTTGGATGGGCATATTGGCCTGGCCCTTGCTGGGTACCGTGGAGGATGTCATAGACGCTCATGCTGGTGTTTTTTTAATTTCCTTTTCAGAGCACGAAGTTGAGTGTGCTATGCAACTCAGGAGAATTGGAGACAGATTGAATTGGCGGCAGAAACTCCTGAGTGTGATAGCCAAGCTCTTCCGCTCAGGCACCTGACTGTGGGAGAGCCTTCGGATGAGGGAGGAGACTTCTTTGAGATGGAAGAATCTTCGGTAGGCCTCCATTCACCCATTGGCAGCCAGGGAAAGAGGAAAGCAGCCGTCCTTTAGCTCTTTGGATCCCTTGGGAAGGAAGATGGGGTTCCCAGAGCCCTTCCGGGGCACGGGAGAGCGACACACCGCCAATTTGTTTGTCTGAAGCATGGGTGGAAGAGCTTTGAAAAGAAGGAGTTGTTTACCCATTTCCTTTTTTTTTAATTTGCTTAGAGAATTGTTCTAGTGTTTCTGCTGAACGTTCCTTTCTATCCTAGTGTCGGGGGGTTGCTAAGACTTTAGTCCTGGTGGAAAGAAAGAGCAGAATCCATTCGGTTGTTGTCTCAGCTTTTGGGCGATGACTCCAGAGGGATGTGGAACATTGGGTCCATACCTAGTATTTTATTCAAAGTCAAAATTACATTCTGGGAACACAAGAGTGTCACTGTGAATGTCGATTCCGTAGGTCACTACAAAATGTTAGAATCATTCGATATGTGCTTTTTTTTTTTTTTTTTTTACTCCGTTCTCATTAAATGTATTATTCCCTGTGGGCATGAGCGGGAAAGTATGTCTTTGTAAGAATCACATAGATTTAATAAGAATTGTTATTTGGTGCCAGGAAAACTAGAGAATTGCGTATTTATTGACAAAGGGCACGGCGATTTTACATAACCAGGAGTAATAAAGCGAAAAGAAAGAAAAGGGAGTTAATCAAAACCCAACCAGATGAAAAGAAGATATGAACAGTGCATATTGATGCTGACTTTATGGACCGCCTGCCCTAATTTGACTTTGCTTCTGGATGCAGACTCACAAGGTTCCAATAGGAATGAAGATTCTTCACATCAAAGAACTTGCTTGTCTTCTCAAAGCACTAGGTTAATATAAGTAGGCAGTATAAAAAATGGATGCCCCAAATTGGGATTGGGGGTGGGGTAAAGACATAAGGTAACTGGCTTACAAACTTTCATAGATCAAAATAGAAAATATTTTTGTTTTACTCATTTATAAAATATTGTGTTTAAATAAAGCTGGTATGTTTCAAACTGTGGGGGGAAAAAGGCAGAAAAGCAACTGGTCTTTTTAACTGATATAATTAAAATTTTGACAACATTTTACATACCCTCTGATAAGCAAAAGAATGTATTTCTCGAAGTTTCTTCTAACAATCTGTAAGATCCCTTTTCTTACACTAGTCAAGAGTGCATTCTATAAAAAGTGGTTTGTTTGTTAAAAAAATGAAGAATCGTGTTTTTTATCCTGGCGATGTACTTTTTTTTTTTAAACAGGGACATTCAGTAGGAAAGTTCTACATACGAAAACGAAGCCAGACCCATTCCTTGGAGTTGAGTCTGGCTCATGGCAAGCCCGTACCAGGGTTTCTGAGACAGTCAATCTTTATGGGGACAAACTCGCCTCTTCTGAGGAGCCATGGGTGGGTTTGAACTGCCAACTTTGCTGGGTTGCAGCCCAACCCTTGTCCACAGCACCATTATGCTTACACCAGGGACTTCAGAAAGTGGGTGGGCAAATGGAATTAAAGGGTAACGAATGTGTGAGCCCATAAGGGTGCACCCAGGAGAGTATCTGTAGCTTGATTTGCATTTCCATGCTATGCAGAACCCTTGAACAAACCCATGGGTTTCAGGTGGTTTGCGTTTGGCTTTTAATTCTTGGGAAAGTCCAGCCTATAAAAGCTCCCCACTATCCAGTAGGAATAAATGTCATCCTTCATTTTCATCAGGAATAAATGTATTTATTATGCTTATTTATAATGAAAATCTTTATTGTTCCACCTGATTGGACATTAGTTACCATGATGGTTTTTTGTTTTCCCAGTTGGGACACCAGGGTCTCCTAACGACTTGAATTTGAATGCATTCAGGAAGAATGTGCTAATTAATAGAGGGTAGAGCCACTTTAGATGAAAAAACTTACCTCAGCATTGTTCTTCAGTATTACGTTTGTTTACTTCATTTATTGCTTTCAATTTTTTTTCTTGCTAGAGGCAGTTTGTTATTATATAAGTATTTATGACCTGTAACTATTTATATACATGTAGTTTGATACGGTAGTCATAAATGAAGAAATCACCCATTCTGTGATCAAACCTTTAAAGTGTTTACCCATTCTATGGTACTGCTGTTTTTCTTATCATTCTAGAAACTAATGAGTTAGAATCATGTTTATAATCCTGGACAACTTGTAAGACAATGAGACAGTTTAAAATGATCTTTCATGTTAAAAAGGTTGGAAACTGGGGATACACTGGTAGTTGAAATATAAAATAAAGTCATTTCTATATAAGACTTTGTAAAGTTCTTAATTCAAACAGTTCTCCATTAAAAAAAATATATCACCCATTCCCAACCTGTGTGTTTTATTCATGTCATGTGTAAAACAAGTGATCACTAGCAGATCAAAATATTGGAAGTGATTTTCTTCAGCAGGTATTTTTGACTGTTCCAGGGCTGTCCTGGGGAAGATAGGCTCTCAGATTGACACTCAAATCGGGACAGGAAATAGTAGTAATAATAATAATGAAATAGGATGTGACTGGCAGGTGCACATCTTCATGTTGCCTAGGGCCATCCATTCGTGCCCCGAGGTGATTGACTTAGTGTGTTGTGGGAAGCCCAGGGTGCTGGTCACCTCATAGATGACCTCATACTTCCTCCCCAGCACCCCTCCAGCAGCAAGTGCTGATTGCTTCATCCCAGCAAGTCATGTGCCCAAGTAGGTGTGACCGGTGGCTTTCCTGTGCCCGTGTGAGAACGGAAAGATAGCTCACCCCACCTCCAGCTTGCCCTTGCTCTCAAACAGCCTGCTGAGGGTGCAATGGAAAGTGCTCCCTTTCGGTGGGCGGATGGGGAGGCAGAGTTACTGGAGGAAGCTCACCACGCAGCGAGTGCTAGAGCCTTGGGGAAGGGCTGCCTGGTGCTGCTGCTGCCTGTTCCTCCGGAGGAGGGGCTTAAAGTTTCCAGAGGAGAGGGCGTGATTGGCTTCCTAGGAGGTGGGCCAGTCCACCGGATTGGATCTGAAGCCCTTAAGAGTAGTAATGCATGCCCTAAGCTTCTGACATCAATGAATTATATTTGAATTGGAGGCTTCTGTTTCCCCTTATACCGTTCAATAAACAACTGACTTGCATTTACATTGAAAAGGAAGCCCCCATTTCAATAGTGGATAATTAAAGCTAGCTATGCTACCAGGGTTCTGGAACCATTGTTTTTAGGAGATGAGTTTTCCTTGGACTTTGCAAATCGTGTGTAATGTCAAATGCCTCTGGTGGAGCTCACGGGACACGGTTGGTTGAGCTGCCTGCAGCAGGCATTCCGATAGGAGTCTCAACCCAGTGATGTGCGCTTACCCCCTCCGCGGGGAGGTGGAGGAAGGTGTTACACAGGTGAGATAGGGGAGTGGGGTCTGCTATAGGCCAGAGGTCCCCAGAAAATAAATGGTAAGAGGGTCCGGTGTGGGCGACCTGGTAATGTCCCTGGCCCGGGCTCGCGGCGGAGCTTCTGGCAGGAGGAGGAATGAGAACAGGCTTCTGGAAGAGAAGGACCAGTTCTTTCCCCAAGTTCCCTCCGGTTCAGTCTTCAGGGCTCAGCAGCTTTCCCGGTCCTTTGGGGCTTTCGAGGCAGTGCGGACCAGAAAGGCCGGAACTCCTGAGGCTCCGGTACCCAGCACTGGCCGTGGAACCAGGTATTGTCCGTGAGATGAATGTGCGAAGACAGGCGGCCCGGTTCTTCGCCGGGCCCAGTTCCCCTCTGAGCGACCCCCCCCTGGGTCTCCTCTTGCCCTCCCACCGGTGGCTACCTTTCCAGCGAATCCCATTTGCCTTCTGTCCCTCCGACCCTCCTGCTCTCCTGCCCTGTGTCCTCTGGGCCCAGGCCCTCCTCCTCAACAGTGAGGGGCTGGGTGGGGTAATAGCTGCAAGGCCAGCAGTTCGAGAGCACCAGCCGCACTGCGTGAGAAAGATGGGGCTTTCAACTCCTAAAAAGTTACAGTCTCCGAAACTCACAGGGGGCAGTTCTAACCTGCCCTCTAGGGTTGCCATGAGTTGGCATTTACTCCACGGCCTTGAGCTTGGCTTGGTTGTGATCAGGCAGAAGCAAGAGAAGTGGTGAAAATCTTGCCAAGTTTCTCAAACCTGCCTCCGAGGGGTTGGTGCACCAGGGAGATGCTGGGGAGGACATGATGAAAGAGCATGCCACTTTGGAATCCCAGAGCTGGTCATTCAAGGTCACTGATGAGCTGCATGGTCCGACAAAGCAGCCCCCTGAGCCATTTAGAGCCATTCTTCTGAAACCTGAGACTGCAATATCTTCAAGGTGGTGTGGATACCACTCCCCACACCCACCTTTAGGAAGAACATAAAGTGTTTTTTTTTTTTTGGGGGGGGGGAGATATGAAAATGGCATTTAAAAAGTATAAACTAAAAAAAAAGTTCATTTTACACTCTTCTCCCTAGAGCTGATTCTGGAGTCTTGGAGGGGATTGGAGGACCTCCTGTGATTTGTAAGCATTTTCTTGGGAAAGAGACTTTCCCCTACTTTCTGATTTCTTTGGTAGCCAGTGTCACACTGTTGGGGTCACTTCTTACAGGTTGCTGGAAATAGATGCATCACCTGGCGGAACACACCAGACTGGATAATCACTTACACATTCCCATGTCATGGGTCATGGTTAAGCACCACAGCCTTTGTCAACGCAGCCTGGACTGTCAGGGTTTCCCTCAGCCAGACTTTCAGAATCAACGTAGCAAACCCATCGACCAATCCCAAACCGAAACTCACTGCCCTCCAGCCCCTTCACAGCGATGCCCACCTTTGCTGTCTTCCTTCCATCAAATATGTTCATCTCCAAAAACGGAGAGTTAGAGATGGAGATTTAGGGTTCCACAGACACCACTCAGCGGTACCCCATAGTCTCTGTACCTAGAAACAGCTTGTGCTTGGGGTTAGCATTGGGACTAAAATGGAACATGCAAACACCCCCTTTGGTATTTCTTGGGTTTCTGAAAGAGACTTCTATTCTTCCTGGCTTATGCA